TCCAACCAATACCCGCCTCCCCCCCCGCCTTCCTGTCCTCCACGCCAGAAGTCGCGTCGAGCAAGGTTAGCTTTCTCTCTCTTTGTGCTGTACTTTGTGTCATATTTTTACGGTTTTAAAAAAAACATATGGTTCAGAACGGATTAATCGTAATTACATTGAACCTTATGGGGAAATTTGATTCGGGATGTAATCAAAAATTGGTTGGCAACCAAATTCGGAGGAGTCAGAACAGATTAACCGTGTTTACATTGAACCTTATGGGAAAATTTGATTCGGTTCACGACCAATTCGGTTCGCGACACGGAACGAATTAAGTTCGTGAACCAAGGTACCACTGTATTAAAAAAGAGACAGGCTGGCTCCCACCTGACTCCCTGGCAGACTTGCAAGTTTCTCTCTTAATAAAGTTTAGTTATAGTATAGTTATGGCCTTCTTGTGGAATTGGTTTCTTGATCTGGCCTACCTTGTATGGTTGACAGTACCATACAAAGAGATAAGGCTATTTCCTGCCTGTCTCTAGTCCCTTTTGGGGAACTGGAACCTCTTCCTCCTCCCTTTTCTAAATCCATTACAGGTAGCCATTGTTTAGCAGCTGCCTCGTTTAGTGACCATTCGCAGTTACGATGGTGAGGAAAAAGTAACTTTGTGACCAATCCTTGCGTTGATGACCTTCGCAGGTCTGTAAAGCAAAGAAAAGCTGAAGTAAGGTTATAAGCACAGCTGCAGTTTCACTTAGTGACTGCTTCACTTAATGACCAAATTGTGGGTCCCAATTGTGGTCACTAAATGATGACTACCTGTATATCTCCATTGTCCCTTTTTGAAGCAGCATAAGTATAGCATAATTATTCTTCCCTCCTGCGCATGTTGTATTTATTCTTTGCAACAAACCTGAGTGGCAGATAATCTAGAAAGCCACCTAGTGAGCTCTGTGGGGTGAGCAGAGATTTGATTCCAGGGATCGCATTACTTTTGGATTTCTCTTATCCATCCTTTGCCCAAGCAGCACAACAGAATTGTCAAGGGAGGTTAAATTTTGGCTCCTGGACTACCTACCACCAACCAGCTGCCTATCCCTATGTTATGGGTATCATTCTGCTATCTATTAAGAATGTAGGAAGTATCTTCCTGTCAGGCCCAAGTGCTTGTTCATTTCATCCATGCTGGTTTTCTCTGGCTGGCAGTGGCTTTCCTGGGCCTCAGGCATGAAGACCCTTTCCCATCATTTGTTACCTTCTAGCAGTAAGTCCGGAGACCAAACCTGGGATA